AAAAAAAAAAAAAAAAAAAAAAGGGGGGGTGGGGGGAGAGTCATTAAGCATTCACTCATCAATACTGACCTTGTTGCTCACTTTCCGCTTCAGTTTTTGAAGAACCTGGTGCAACAGGAAGGGGTCGAGGTGGCCGGGGCTTTGGGGTGGGAGGTGAGATTTTTTTCCTTCCAATATATTCTACATAAGTTCCTGGAAAGTCTCCTCTCTCCCCTGTGGTTTCATTATAGCCATTTAACCAGCCAATTTCTTCAGGCCTGGCTTCCTGTCCATCACTGAATCCAAGAGCTACTAAGGACCCTTTATTCACAGTCAATATGTCACCCAAGTGCAAGTCAATGTCTTCTTCTCGCTCCTTTTTATAGTCATAGAGGGCTCGGTACTGGAACCCCTCGGCACTCATGCTTGCAGATCTGGGACCATGCAATAGGCGCGTCTAGTCAACGCTGCTAATTTTACGTTTCTATGGAACGTGAACTCAGAGAGTGTGTTAGGATTCCCAATATGTGTCCAGCAGAGGACAAAGGACAACTCTCCGAAGGTTTAAGAGGAGAGGTGACTGGCCATTGGCTGTCCATCTGTCCTCCATCAACGGTGTGGCTGAAGACAGGGCTCCCCTTCCTCTGTGGGCCAGTTCTCCCACCGGCTTCCTTTTCAGCAGCTCGTGAACACTTTGACTCCAGGCTGACTCTCACAGAGAGGCCCCATCCTTTCTGACACTCCCGCCACACTGTCCATCTGCCGTCTGATTTTATTGTTGCACTCCACAAGCGAGCTTCACCTAGCAAAGAAAAAAAAAAGACTTAAGAATGAACATCACACTTTGCCATCTGTATGAATTTGAATTTCTACTTACATTCAACAAGTGCTTAATCAGTCTGGCAGATGTACACAGGCCGCGTGCTATTGCTGGGCACAATATCCACAACAAAGATCAGTGAGACATCCCTGCCTTCCAAAAGCACCAGGCAGGGGTGGGAGGGGTGCTGGCATGTGGCAATGTCTCAGAGATAAGACTGGTACACAAGGAAATGGTATACAATAACATTAGGAAAATGCCAGAAGACAGCAGAGACTAATCGCTGTGGAGTTCAAATGAGGGAGACACAACTCTAACTGTAGGAATCTGAAGACAGATGAAATGTGTGGCATGGCCTTAGGTACAGATGTGACTAAGCAAATATCATATTCTGGAAAGAGCCAGAACAGGGAGCCCAATCCGTCTGGAGGCATCGCTGACTTTTGAGAAAGCAGACTCCAGTCTAGCACTACTGGGGATGGCAACTAGAACTTAAGGAGTTAAGGAAGCGAGAGGAAGTAGAGACGGTTGCCGGAGACTCCTCTATGAGGATCACTTAGTGGAGGGAGAAATGGGAAATGAAAGTTTTTTCTTTTTCTTTTTTTAACATAGTGGAGGAAGAAGAACTGGAGAGCCAAAGATTCTCTAAGCTAGTGAGTTAGTAAGCTAGTGCTGGGCTGCCAATAGGACAGTGTGCATATGTGTGCACTTTGCACTCCACTCATTTCTCATCATTATCTTTATTATAAAAAGTCAAAGCAACCTAAAGGTTTCCGTTAAGCTGGCTGGACAATAAAGCAATAAAAATAGCCACACACTTTTGGTTAAATCAAAGAGAGCCTGTACGAGTTTTACAGTGTAGAACACTGTAAGTTTAATATTACTCAGTGTAGGCATCTTAAGAAGCCACATCTGATCACAGGTAATTGTTATGTTGGCATTCAGAAGTGTAAAGTGTTCAACCTTACATGGCTAAAGACTCTTAGCTGTAATATAACAACACTCTTAAGAGAGTTACATATTAAAAGAAGCAAAAACAAACAATGGAAATCTTTGGGAAGCAAGAATATTAATTTTGGTTAGTATTATTCTACTTTGTATTTCAGTTATCAGAGAAAAAATTAAAGCAACCAGCAGAGTGGATTAAAAAAATAAACTATATTATGTTTGAAGACAGCCTCTCCTTTTGCTAGATCCCAAATCAAATTAAATATTCACTGCATAAATTCACACAAAAACGCAGAACTAGCAAATCTCACTTTTAGTACTAATGTTCTCTGTACAAATGAGACACAGAACTCTAAAGAACATGAAAAAATTTACATATCCCTAAATGCCTGGAAACCAGGCAATATGCCTAAGAACAATTTAATTCCTCCAAATCTGCTCTGAAATTTTTGTTAGCTTTTCCAGGCAATGTATGTCCTTTTTGGAGGGAAAAATCCTCAACCAGTAGGCTGGTACATCTTTCCTCCAGCTGCTGCCTGCGGCTTCCTCTGTTTCAACAACCCAGTGGGCTAATTTGGTGAAATTCTTAACAGGATGGGGAGCATGATCTCTTCTTCCATAGCCCTCAGCAACCAAGCCCCTGCTCAGCACATACCTATGCAGCTACGCATGTTCCTCACCAGGGGACACTGCAGTAAGGAAGGCTCCATGTCTAGTCAAGGTATTACCAACCGGAAAGCCGTGCTTATGTAGGCCTGAAGCTAAGTTCGTGCAAACATAAAAATATCCCCGAGGAACCTGCTGGCTTTAGTGAGGTCAAAGTCTGGAGTGGCGATCTCTGCTATCTGTGCCAGAGACCAGTAGGTGTCCACAAATTCCCGCTCCCTCACCATTTGCAAGAAGCTTACTTCCTGTGTAAGGTGAACCCTGTACAGAACTCTGGGCCCTCACCTGATACAAAGAACCCCAGGCCTTCTATGACTCCAGTATGGAAGTAGAACACACCACTCCTATCTTCTGGGACTCCTCCACCAAGGCCAGGAAGATCAACCAAAACAACTCAAGATAGGCCACGATTCGGGGCCAAATAAGTGGTTGGAGAGCAATGTTATAAGATAAGACGGAGATCTGCCTAGTCATCGGGTGAGGACCGGATGGTGTCCTAGTGCGAGGTACACAGCGTCCTTGGCTAAGAAGGGGCAGGCACACTTCTCCTGACAGCTAGGCCCATCCCCGCCCCCATTCCAAGTTTATTTGTTGCTCATGAAACAACTGTGGCCAATTATTCACCTTTGCAGTCGCTAGGCCCATTTTAATGATTGTCACTGTTGTCACAGTCAGCGTGGCCATCACCTGATACTGGAAGCTATGTGGGTTCTAACCAATTCAAATGCCTTCCTCTTCCTCCCTAACCTAACACTTACGGGAGCTGTTCAGTCATCATCTAATATTTATTGGAAGCTATATCTATATTAACACATTCAATACAATACAATACAATTAACACAACAGCAAGATAATCACAAGGCAGGTACTATCAATAATTCTCACTTTACATGGGAGGAAACTGAGGTGCAGAAAATTTAGTATCTTGGCCATAATAACACTAAGCAACTGAGAGGTGGAACCAGGATTCAGATCCAGGCAGGCTGGCTCCAGAGCCGCCACTTTTAACACCACTAGAACCTACTGCCCAAACTCAGCTTGATTCAATACCTAAAGACAGCCCAGGTATGTCCACAGGGTCACCGATGCAGATTCCTTGCCTGTACACTCTGACCTCCGCTTTTCATCCTTTGTGACAGCAGCCTTACTGATAGTGTTTGTGGCTCTTTCACGAACACACCTGCACAGAAAAGAGCCATTCTAACTCAGCAGCAGTTCTGTCAAGTCCAAGACCCAGCATCTAGGACCATGCAAATTTCCTTCCATACAGACTTCACTAAAATGCATTCTTGCCAAAGAAGTCCATAAACGAGTGAGTAAAAGAATCCTGGGCACATCATTTCTGAAACTGTGCCCACTTCTGCTCTATGAGCTTAACCTTCTGCCACCTGTATCCCTCTTGGCATCTATGCCCCCGTGGCTATCCCAGGCTCCTCAGTGCACAATTTCTAAAAGCTCAGCTCCTCCCTAAGGAGATATGTGAAGCATCAATCCATAGTCAGGAGAGCTATCACATCTAGAGGACTGGCAAGTTCTTTTCCCTCACCCTCCAATTCTCCACAGGAATGCAGAAGCCTCAGAAGCCTGAGGCACTGGCAGTGTGTGTGTAATCCTCCAGAGATCAAGGGAGCCCAAACTAATCAGATCCCCAGGCGTTCTGTTGCCCAGCTCCACAAGATTTTGCTTCCAGTCTCTTTGGCTACCTGTCCATTGAATTATTTCCACCCAGCACTAACATAATTATTCACAAAGTAAAGGTTTTTATATGTAGCTAATATCCGCCATCCATATGTTAATGTTTTCAAATAACCAAGGGGGTGTTATGATACCTAATCTCCAAGCTAATGCAAAGGTGTGCTGCTATAACAAAAGGTAAAAGGAAGCCTACGGAACAAATAACGAATTAACATCCTCTTATGTAACATCACAGGGACCACTCAAGATCTCCTTACTGGGAGCGACTCTGCTCCCTCCTTCGGTCCTGTTAGACTACCCGCAGCACCGATCAGTGGAAGCAGATTTCCTCTCTCTACTAAGACACTGAGCAATTGTCACTCTCTTCCTCAAAATAAATGTTATTTCTGATGCCTGACAAGGAGCCAACACGACTTCTTAATGTACAATTGCTTGAAAGTAAAATTTCAATTTAACCCTCTAACCTGCAGGCATTTTGGCAAAGAACCAAACAAAATTCTTTGAAAAGCCCTCTTTGTCCACTTACTTGCTCCCCTTTTACAAAGGACAGGGATTTAGCAAACTTGGTAAGAGGCAGGATTAAGGGTATTTTAAAATCACTTTAAATAAAGCAAGACTATATCCTGATCATATGATTCTATCCTGCGGTAAAATTAGCAATTTGGCACTGGGTCCCAGCACAAAATGGGTTTGTGATCCAGATGCAAAGGCCACGGAGCAGTTCCTGGGCCCTTACCTCCTAACATGCCATCTCTCCATCCTCTGTGTGCTAGCCCTGAGTCTAGGGCAAGACCCCCACCTAAATTCAGTCTTTAAAAAATAAAAATCATTACTTAAAAATCTTTCCACTTTACGTCCTAAAAATCATGAAAATTGAACTGAACAAAAATTAAAATTTCCTAGTAAACCATAATAAAGTTCAACTTAAAATGATGCACTCAGGATAAATTTTATGGCATGTGAATTTTATCTCAACTAAAACAAAATAAAAAAGATGGGATCTGATTAATCTTGAAGTCACAGCCATCAAATATCTCCATTCATTTTCAAACCAATCAGAATGTGCTGCTGGCTGCCACGCTTGGGGCTGTTTGCCTGGGGAACCAGGGTGTCTAGGTCAGGACTCCCGCCAGCAAGCCCTTAGTGGATGGGGGTGGGGGCACAGGACAAGCCCAGGTGAAATTACAAGGAAGGACAAGGAGGCGGGGCTGCCAGAATGCAAAGCACTGGCCTGGCGCCAGAGCGCTGCAGGAGGGAGGGGTGGAGGAGGGTCTGAGACCCAGGCCCAGCTGGAGCAGCTCTGGGGCTCAGAGGTCATCACCTGGGGGCAAGGAGAAGGGATGACGAGGCACTCACACTGGGGCTTCCTGGGCCTGAGAAATGGCTACAGTGCAGACCATCCCGCTTCTCTGCATCATCACTGAAAAGACGCCCTGAGGAGGCACCATGGAATGAGAGGATAGAGGTAGACAATCTAAAGTCCCTCCTCTAGTTAAAATACAATGCCATTTTGTAACATTCTTAACAAGCACTAAGCTTCAGACTCAGCAGCTGTCCCCATCAGTGCCTAGGTTTTTAAACTTGGGCAAGTTACTTAAACCTCTGTATGGAACAATTTTAGCATCTATGAGACAGATACAAAAAAGCAAACCTACAGCTCATAGGGTTACTATGAGGATTAAATTAAATGGCATATATAAAGCACTGAACTCCATGCTTGACAATTAGAGCTTAATAATTAACACCGACACAGTGCTTGCTATGGGCCAGGCTCAGCTGTTAAGAGTTTTGCATATGTCAACTCATTTAATCCATATAACCACCCTAGGTACAATTATTATCCCCATTTCACAGATGAGAAAACAAGCAGAGAAGTTAATTTGCCTGAAGTTACACAGCTAGTAAATTACAGTCATGGTACTGCTACTATTGTTACTACTATTAGTAATAGCATTGAATGACACTGCCATTTATACAATTCATATTTCAAACAGGAACATTTGCACCCAGCTGGCTTGGCTCAGTGGTTGAGCATCGACCTATGATCCAGGAGATCCAGGTCTGATTCCCTGTCAGGGCACATGCCCCGTAGCAGGCTTGATCCCCAGTGGGAGGCATGCAGGAGGCAGCTAATCAATGACGACTCATCATTGATGTTTCTGTCTCTCTCTCCCTCTCCTTTCCTCTCTCAGAAATATGTGTGTGTGTGTGTATATACACACACACACACACACACAGATAGATAGATATAAGTAAAACAGGAACATTTGCCAGGAATTTTCTTTTGCATTGCCTCTAAATGCTGCAACCTGTTCTAAATGAATCCTGAAGCTAGCCATAATAAAACTCCGCTGTCCCCCTAACTCCTTTTCAAAGTAAACAGGCAGACATAAAGACTGCATGCAGACTCTGTCCATCTAGTCTTCTCCCTACCTGAGGTAGAGGGTGGCCCTGCAAAGGTCAAGGCAAAGGAGACTCAGGAAGCAGAAAGGGTGTGTGAGAGTGCACCTCATGTAGGAGGCAGAGTAGGGGGCAATACTCCTCTCCAACAGGGCTTGGCTGCTGCTCCCTAGCTGCTCTCGGAGAGAAAAAAGATGAAGACACTAATGCAATCCTCCAGGGACTGAAGGCAGCCTAGTCTGAATGTTACAGCCCCAGCTCTTGGGGCTGAGCCCTGAGTCTGGACCACCGAGGTCCGGTGAAGAGGGAAAGGGGCAGGGCCCAACAGCCCAGGCACCTCGATTTATTAAAGTACTCCACCCACTGGTGGAGTCTCTCCTTACATTTTGGCCAAACTCCTGTGACTTAAATAATCTGGGGGTGGGGCTGGAGGTGGGGGTAGGAGTGTTTGTTAACCTGAAAACTATTTTGACTATAGGTGCCTGTGGGTATGTATTTGATTTACTTTAAGAAAAACAACACTGGGAAGAGAAAATATCCAAAGATGTCTTTATAGTAGAATTCTTTTGTTTTTAGCAAAATCTACACTACATTCATTCTACCTTTAAAAAAAAAACTAACATAAGCCAAACAGACAAGTTAATGGGTGAGGACAGCATCTATTTTTCAGCTCATCTGGCATAATATACATGAAATGGCTTTTAATCACCACTCTTTTGGCAAGTAATCACATTAGAAGTGCAGGTGAAGGAGATAGGAAAAAATGCAATAAATGATATGTTTTCAAAATTAATTACAACCTAAGTTTTTGGTTAAACAAGTCATATAATTTATATTATGTCTTCTGAGGTAAAAACTAATTGGTAATCCTTGCCTTCCATTAAGTAACTTTCTCACCTTCTGAGGGCTTCCCCGAAGTGCTCCATTCTCCTGCCTTCAGTGGCAAATCCCTGTGCCTTCCCAAAGAGACCTGTGGGGAGCCTGTCTAAAATGTGTAACATACTGAAAAAAGCACTTCCCATTTTCTCTGCACTGTGCATGCCTCAGATGTGAGAATTAAAAGCAAAACCCCAAATGCAAACATTATCTCAGCTTTCTGACCATGAAATGTTTTTTTCAATCTGTTCATGTACCATCTCTTT